CCAACGTCACAATTGTTTCCATGTTCCTATTGATGCTGCCACTTTGCCAATACATCTCGCTGGGGGTCTTCCTCTTTTTCTCTGACCCTCCACCTTACCAAACATGATATCCATCTCCAGCGACTGGTCCCTTCTGACAATATGTCTTAAAATGAGAGATGAAGTTTGGCCATCTTGGCCTCCAAGGAGCACTCTGGCTGCACTTCTTCCAACATAGATTTGTTGGTTCTTTTGGCAGCCTATGGCACTTTCAATATTCTCTTCTAACACCATAACTCAAAGGCATCAATTCTTCTACATTCTTCCTTATTCACTGTCCAGCTTTCGCATGCGTATGAGGTTATTAAAAATACCATGGCTTGGTCGTTCTTGATCGACTATTAAAATAGCCTGCAATTTAAAAGAAGGAGGAACTGCTCCACAATGTAATGATAGCTATGCTGTTGCTGTTGTTAAGTGCTGTCAAGTCAGTTCTGACTCATAGCAACCCTGTATAGGATTTCCAAGGAGCAGCTGGTGGGTTTGAACCACCAACCTTGTGGTGAGCAGTCCATTGCTGATCCTACAATGTAATGAAGGTTATTGGTAGGTTACTTAGAAAATGGATTTAAAAGAAAAAGTCATCATGAATTCCAAAAGTCACCATAGTAGAAGCTAAAGAACATTCACGGAAAACTGGAGGGTATGTGAAGGCTACTCACCTTTAATCAGCAACTCATAGAACTGGGGCTCTATTGCTCCAACAGCCATGAACTGCCCATCTGCTGTCCTGTAAGTTGTGTAGAAAGGAGCTCCGCCATCTAACAGGTTCTGGCCTCGTGGCCGATCCCACAGTCCCGCTTTGTGAGTTTTCCACAGAAAAGAACTTAGGTATGCTGTTCCTTCCACCTTTGAAGAAGCAGAGTGCAGTATAAATCCAGACAATTCAACTACAGAAGTAGGATGCACATCTGTTTAATTTTAAAAAGCTAATGTTGTTGTTAAGTGCCATTAAGTCCATTCCTACCCATAGCGACCCCGTATAGGGTTTCCGAGGAGCAGTGGGTAAGCATGTGGTTCAAACCCACTTTGCAGTCTAGCACATTAACCCACAGCACCATGGAAAAATGCTTATTTTAGTATATATGCAGATTGTATCTAATTATACAACTTCTCTGGTATCTCTAGAAAGTGGGTTACACCGGGTTTGCGGTAGAATGAGAACGGGCTGCAGATTTCAGTTTAGAAAATACTGTAAGATTTACAAAGAACTACCAGTGTTTTCTTCTCAGGTAAGACTGGCAAAATAGCGATGATTTTTGAAGCTAGTGAGAGGACATGGAAGCTCATTAAGCCCTTTTTGCTATTTTGGTATATCTAAAAACTGTGGTGATAGAAAGTTAAAAAATACAAAGCAAAAAGTTTTTTTTTTAAAGTTCATACTCTGATCTCAATGTCTATTAAACACATGCAGATATGACAGCATATTCTATTTAGGCATGAATCACATTGCTTACATTTAACTTCTTCTAGCTAGACTCTAGGAAACCTAAATTTGAATATTGAATACATTTTAACCTTAATAACAAGGTGCCCTGTTGGTGCTGTAGGATAAATAATGGACTACAAGACTGGCAGTTCAAACCCAACAACTTTCCATAGGAGAAAGATGAAGCTTTCTGCTCTTGTGAAGATTTACAGCCTCAGAAATCTGGGTCACTAAGAGCTGGAATTGACTCAATGGTAGTTGTTGCTGTCACGTGTCTTTGAGTCGGTTCTAACTCATGGCGACCCAGTATAGGGTTTCCGAGGAGCAGTTGGTGGGTTTCAACTGCCAACCTTGAAGTTCACAGTCCAGTGCTGATCCTACAGCACCACACCAGGAGTAGGAAGAGGACAATCCTCAAAAATCAGGAGAAAGTTCCAAAATAAACATAACATGTTTTTGTTGTTGTTAGGTGCCATCGAGTCGGCACCGACTCATAGCGACCTTATGCACAGCAGAACGAAACACTGCCCGATCCTGGGCCAACCTCACTACTGTTGCCATGCTTGACTCTATTGATGCTGCCACTTGGCCAATCCATCTCATTGGGAGTCTTCCTCTTTTTCTCTGACCCTCCACCTCACTAAACATGATATCCTTCTCCAGCAACTGCTCCCTCTTGACAATATGTCCAAAGTATGAGAGACAAAGTTTGGCCATCTTGGCCTCCAAGGAGCAGAGCACTCTGGCTGCACTTCTTCCAAAATGGATCTATTGGTTCTTTTGGCAGTCCATGGCACGTTCAATATTCTCTTCCAACAGCATAACTCAAAAGCATCAATTCTTTTATGGTCTTCCTTATTCACTGTCCAGCTTTTGCATGCATATGAGGCTCCTGAATATACCACATATATAACATGAGTGGTTAAATATTTGGGTTTTCTGATTTCCAGATAAAGTAGTTTGAGAACACATGTTTCCAACTGTGTGCTGAGGCAAGTCACACCATGAGATACAACTCCAAAGCTCCACGTCCTGAGCCATTTTCCTACCGATCCAGCATCCACAGAGATGGCCCTCCAAGCACCCGTGTCTCAGAATCAGCAGCAGGACGAGCCCACCCTTCACACGGTTTCTGCCGATGAACAAACACACAATCCATCCGGCTATATACCAAGTCTCACATTCAGCCTGAAGTCCCGTCAGCAGCTGAATCTATGGTTATGGTATCTGACATCACTAAATAATAAATATAAAAGTGGCCCATAACAGTGCTTTGAAAAAAGTTACATAAAAGGGCTTCAAAAAGCTTGTCGAAAAATTGTACTACCTTTCAATTTTAGTTTTCTACAAACATTTTAAAGTCCGTCTGTATGTATGTTAAGGAACTGCCACATAAGACGGATGGATGGATGGATGGATGGAAGGATAGATGGACTGGCTGGCAGAGACACATAAGCACTATTATTTTTAAATATATTTATTTTATTTTCAGTTAAGTACACATTATATTTTTTTATTTTAAAAACTGCAATAATATTCCTATCTTTACAATTATCCTATACCCAATTCTGAACAACTGTCCTATACCGATTCATTAACTCTCACCTGTGCTTGAACTTGCAACTGTTATATTCAGGAAGACTGCGGTACCTGGGCCTGCTCAGATGAAACCCAAAAGCTGAGGAGCTGCTGGAAGCAGGTGCAGCGCTGAGAGCAGGCCTGGCCCCTGCCAAAGCCTCACCCTCACTGGGGCTATAACATGTAAACTTGAAGCAAGGCATGTGCCCTCAGGGCTACAGAGTTTTGACCCTGAGAGTTCTGAATGCAGGCAACCCTGGATTACTGTCGTACCTTGAACTGACTTGGTATGGCTTTTCTATCCAAAGGCTTCTAAATTCCCAACAAGTGATTGGGTAGAACCATGCAAATCAGGTGTACAGGACACTAAAGCTGGGATTGGTTAGTCCTGCCCTCCTGCTGGGTTTAAAAGGGGCCATCTCAGAAGCAGAGACTGACGATTCCAGGACCATCAAGAAGGAAGAGCATGAGTGATGTGTGAGATCCCGACCTAGAAAGCAGAGGTGGTGGCATGGAGAGACAGAGCAGCTGCAAGCATCTAGTCTTTGGGACTGAGACATCTGGGTGCCAACAGGCAGGAGGCTGGCTTACAGAATGTGTCCTTTGGGCATTTACAGACTGGCTACAGGAGTCCTGGTGTGGCACTGTAGGATAAGTGCAAGTCTGCAAGATCGATTTGAACAAGGCAGGCTGTTCAAACTCATCAGCCGCTGCTCGGAAACTCTATACAGGGTCACTGTAAGTCAAAACTAACTCAACAGCACTTAACAACAACAGCAAAAGGAGTTTGGTAACACTTGCCCAAGCAGTGTAGAGGCCACAGGGCCACATGGCTGAGAGGCCAAGGACAAGAGTGAGGCGTACCTGCAGACAAGAGGCCTTCCTGTCTGGAGTGCTGCTGCGTCCTGAGTTATTTTCTGATCCGGAACTGTACCCTGTTCACTTCCCTAGTAAACCCCGTAATCTTGAGCATTGTCTACAAGTTCTGTGTGGCCAGTACAAAGGACTAGTGAACGCAGATGTGAAGCAGAAAGTGCTGTGGGAGGGATGGTGGTAGGGAGGAGGCATGTCTGACCTCCACTTCCTAGGAATCAGCCTTGGGCAGATTTTGAGTTTGATTCTCCTCCCCTCTTGTGAAGTCAGGGGAAGTCAGGCATGGCTCTCACACAGTCTTCTTCTTGTTGTTGTTAGGTGTCATTGAGTCAGCGGTGACTCATAGCGACCTTATGCGTAGCAGAATGAAACACTACCCGATCTGGGGCCAACCTCACTACTGTTGCCACACTTGAGCCCACTGATGCTGCCACTTTGCCAATCCATCTTGTTGGGGGTCTTCCTCTTTTTCTCTGACCCTCCACCTTACCAA